CAGACGGACTCGCTACCATTGGGAAAAGGCGTTGGAAGTGTGCGGCTGGGGAAAGCCATTTCTTATTTATGGCTCTTGGCGGAGTCGAACCACGCCGGGCTTGCTGGGTGGGAAGGTGCTCTCTGTGATCTTGTTACGGCGGTTGTTAATTATTGTTATTTCGACGTATACTGGTTTTCATAGTGTTTATGTTAAAATAATTTATTGCTGGCCTTTTTCGGTTTTGACATTTTTTCTTCTAGGTTGTCGTCATGCAACGTGAACAATGAGCATATATGTTGTATTTCAATCTCAGTAACACATAATTAAGGCTTTGTTGTAGTTTTTTTTTTGTTAAATGGAAGGGGACATTTAAAACGGGCAAACCGGAGTTGCGTTTTTTACTCGTTCGGAGAGAATAAAACAAAAACCTCTTGTTCGGCACGCATAAAAAAATTATTAGAATCTATAAAGGCTCGAACCCCGTGTGAACGTGAAGCCATATTAGTGATAGGCTTCAAATTTTTTAGTACATAATGCGTTACCTGGATAAGAAGGTAAAAAAGAAAAACAAAATTCTGTATCAGCTACGTTATCTTAGATCTAATATTTGTATAACCACGAAATGCCATTGTGGGTGCCTGTTGCAGTTATTTCACCAAGACGTCTTCTAGACAAAAAAAGATAAAAAGATTTTCTTCCATTCTGATGAGGTTTTTGTTTTTCGAAACAAATACTAATGGCGTTCGCAATGTCACACACTCGTTTGAGAAATATTATGCCTAAGTGGGCGTTGGCTAAGAAATATTATTTGGTTTTCCGTTTTACCTTTTGATCAAGGTAACGGTATGTTCTCAAACTTTCCCATTCTGTCACCGGGGTCGATATCACAATCGCAGAGTTTTGGGTTTCTGCAATACGTAGTCTATTTATGTAACCATAACATCCGAGTTTTGCTTTTGTTTTTTCTTGTGCCTTGTACACTAGAGCGCTGTAGCAATCAATAAAATTAAAATAAAACTTTGAGTGAGTTTTTTTTTTGGCGAACTCAATCATATCACCAATTCGTCTAAAAATGTCCTTCTGTATTTGTTTCGTTTTTTTTTTTAATTTACATTTTAAGTTAGAAGAGTCACTAAAACAAACAACACTTTTTTTTTAAAGACTGTGATTGGGACAGTATATATGTCTACTGCGTACCAGCCACGTACATAAGAAAAAAAAAACGGACACGGAACAACGCACTTTGAGAAGAGTGCACTGAACTTCTTGAACTGTACATAACGGGGCTGATTCCGTGCGCTCGCTATTGTTTTGTAAGCCCACAAATTTGACATAGACGTCTGAGTGGCTGTGTACTGGTAGTGAAGTCACTACAGCCGTCGAAGCGAAGTAGGATGTTAATAATTCGCACGTGACAAACCTCTGAGTAGGTGTTCGTAGGAATTATTATGTTATTACATAAAAAATAAAAGACGTTTACAAATCTCTGTAATGTGAAAGTAGAGCGCAGCTCTTGAGGTGGAGGAGGGGAGGGTATGCCCCTCCTTTTCCTCCTCCGTACCCTGTTCAGCTGTTCTGGACGGATTCAAAGGTCACTGCAGGTATCAAAACCGGATTACGTGTTACCCTTTGTTTTTTACACATACGCTTTAATGTAAAAGCGTGGCGATTGTTCGACGTCTCATCGGGTTCGGAGGTACTTTCTCTATTTTGAATACATAATGTCGGCTTTTCTTTCGATGAGAACTGGAGTACATTGAGTGCCTAAATACTACCAAGCTGAAACCATGCTGATTTCTGAGCATCAGGTCATAGACGCATAGCTTCTGCGGTCACAACTCGCGACCGCGTCAAGTCTCGTTTGTGTTTTCCAGTCATTATTCCCAAGTAGCACAAAATGTGGCTACAACGTTACTGGAATGTTGTCAGGTAACGTTGCCGAACGCTGCTAACGACCGCGGATTCTACACTCCAGTAACGTTACACCACAATGTTACAGTAACGTAACTGCATACGTTACCTGGACATTACCCAAATAATGTTACTGGAACGTTGTTAGATAACGTTGCCAAACGTTGCTAATGGCCACCAGTTCTACCTTCCAGTAACGTCACATCAAAATGTTGCAGTAACATAGCTCTCTATGTTACCTGGATGCTAGATCAGCGATGTTACTCGGACATCGTCGCTAACGTTGCTAGTTGTTGTTAATGGCCACGAATTCTACCATGCCATAATGTTACACCAAAATGTTGCACTGACATTACGGCTTACTTAAAAGTGAAGGAATAAAAATGTGAAGAACATACACAAACGACCACTCTTTCATTTCGCAACAACGTTTATTTTTTGAGGAGCAAAGAGTCTCATACAGGTCGAGATCAACTAGATACCGAAGGTGGAGTGTTACTGACTCATCCCTCATCTCCCTAAAGTTCCTTTGATCAAGCCTTCCTTTTGCAGTTAATCTTGACTTGTGCGCGAGTCTTTGCTTCCAAAAAACGAGCGTCGTAACTAAATGAAAGAGCGGTCATCTGTTTTTCCTCAGTGCTTTTATTCTCTTAACTTTCAGTAAACATTTTTACAATATGCTGGCACTGGCCAGATATTACTGCATGTGTTACTTGGACATTACTGAACAATGTTATCCGAAAATACATTGACAAGCGCTGCCAGGAAACTGCATTTATGGTTGTCATGAAGTCATTTTTTGAGCTGGTGCCTGATATGAGTAAATGGATGTGCATTACAGGCCATTAATGAATCAGCATTTTGAAATCCTAGAAGCAGGACTCCGGAAGAAAACAAGAAGTTATTGGAATAAATTTATTTCAAAAACGAAACCAACATTACAAGTACCAGAGAATTCTTCTGTTTCTTACAAGCTATTAGATCTACAAAATTGTAAAGAACACACTAAATTACAAGGCTGATCTGCATAAAAATAAAAATGTAAAATATTAAAACTCCCAGCAACATAAAGCAAGTAGCCTAAAATAAAATTCTAAATATATCTCAAATTACACCCAATCTTGGGCTAGGACATATAAATAAATAATGGAGGCAATAAACCAAAAATGACTAGAAAAAGAACATAAATTTTAAATCTTCTAAAAATACCACACTAATGTGTACATAAATTAAATAAAAGAAACCACTAGCTGGGGCGAAAATGTATGCATGAATAGAAATTAAAGGTAACATATGCATATTACAAATTGACATAAAAAATTCAAACAACAGGGACTCTACTCATGGGATGGCTGTAAAAAAAAGAGAAAGAAATCATTAGAAAAAAAAAGCATTTTAAATGATTTAGGTAGCATGAATTTTTTTTTCTTTCAATTCTATGCATTTAGCACGGTTAACCAATTCCATGCTTCCAACTGGGATCAAAGTAACCAACTACTAACATTTAAAACTAACAGAAAAATCAAGGCAGAAACATGCTGAAAAACAGCGCAAAATGCACGGATAAGAAAACACACAGGACAAGGCACTGTGTGTTCTTTTTCCTTTGTCTGGTTTTCGCACCATTTTTCTTTTCAACATGAATTCTTACCAACTAGCCCAGCCCAACTGTCCATCCTTGTAATCAGAAACATGCTTGCCTTCTCCCCTTGTGGCAGCCCCTCAGTCACTCTTGAGAAGAGGCACACTGCTCCTGCAAAAAAATAACACAAAAAAGTTGGTTGCATTCAGAAAATGGGTGCCTATTTCAGGGCAGAGAGTGTCATCAAGATAAAAAAAGAAATGCCTACATCTGTCCTAGCAGTTTCACCACAGTTTCTTTGCATGCACAAGCCATTCTTTTCATCCAGATTAGACTTTTACCGCAAAGTGTGAGCTACCCACAGAACACAGTGGATACGCGACTTATTCTTTTCTGGCAAGGTAGGCGGCTGTTCTCGGCCACTCACTTTTTCCCACTTCAACCTTCTATTTATTCATGCGTGAAAGGCACTTTCTTAAGAGGGAAACAGCTATTTTCCGCAGCGCCTTTTTTATTTTGTATTTGTAGATTTAACTTTGTTTTCATTTTATCCTAAGAGAATAGCTTTCTTTTTAAGAACATAGATGTTCTTAAAAAAGACGTGCCTGCCCTCTTCGTCAATTTTTTGTAACCGACAGAACCGTGGACCTGTCGGATCTTTGACATGCAGTATATTACTGTATGTCGAATATCCGGCGGTCCACGGTCCTGTCGGTTATAATAAATTAACAAAGAGAGGAGACACGTCTTTTCTTTTCCCCGTATCATGGGCCACGGAGACAGATCACTGCCTCAAGGACGGCTTCGTCTTGAAGCAGAATAGGTCTCTTCAAGGACGAAGATATATATACGCTTTTGAATGGACGTGCATTCATCACTGCACCTGATGATCACAGCTTTTAAAGGTGTCGTTAGTGTTACCGTGTCTTATTGGCCTCATTAACAGAAGTCATCATTTACTAAAAAAAAAAGAATAGAAGGTGACAGAAAAAGGTTCCTTCCCTTTATATATATATAGGTTTATAAGTTACAATAAATATTAAAACACTGCTATCCTCCCGGCACTAAAAAGAAAAATATTTCTACTGCTCAAATAGGCTACGTTCAATGAAACAACTTCGATGAAATGGCGTTCAATGAAACAGCGTTTGATAAAACTGTGTTCAATGAAACAGCTTCGATGAAACAATGTTCAATGAAACGGCGTTTGATGAACTGTCCGGACCCAGGGGCAATGTCAATGAGCCTCATATTTTCTACAATGTCAAGCTCATTGCAGACAATGTCATAACATGGTGTTCTTTCATTGGCTAAATAAATTTCTTAATACTTAAAAATGTCTTTATGTAAAGTAGACTAATGCCTTTGTTTGAAATCTGGGCTTGTTTTAGGATGCAAAAGTATTTTTCGGGAGTTTAAGCAAAATTATAAATATCATATTACCATTTTCTTGGTCCTAGCTGGTGCATGCCTGACCGATCCAGCAGCAGCCCCTTTGGCGTCGGCTTCCTGCACGATGACGGCTGGCTCATTGTTTTCTGCCTTCTGTTTAAAGCAGGTGCGCACAGCTCCTGTTTCAAAAGTATATAATTACAACATAACGTCAGCTACCACAGTGAAATATCGACAATTTCATGCCCTACTTCAGCATAACTTGGCAGACATCGGTAACTATGAAATCAGCCAGGGTGTCTAGCAAATTCCTCCTTTTAAGTTCCCCAGCTTTTCCAGGTTTTAAATTCCCTGTCCATTACAGAAGTTTGGAGATGTAGTACGAACTGCTACTAAACACCTCATAAGTGAACACCACTCACAATTTAAAATAATTTATTGAAATCGGTCTTTATGTTCGCTCAAGAAGTCAAAGACTTACAAAGTTTCGGGCAATGTTATTTAGCACAGCCACGTCAATGCAATAAAGATTTAAATGGAGATAATATTGGACATGTGGTTTTCCTAGATGATACTGAAGAATCCTTTGTTTTCTCTCACTAACAAAAATGAGACAGAGTCTGCAAAATGGCGGGCCCTTGCGCGCTGCCATCTTCCAGCTCGGGTGCACCCCAGATAATTAGATTATGAAGGCTTGCTAAAGCGTCACTAAGCTAATTGACAGATTGGTACCCTGAGAGCATGTTTCCCTACCCATGGTGGCTAGACTACTTTTGGAAACATGACTGCTTGCAAACGTGTATAGCTGATTGTGTCATTCAGCTATATGGTAATGTACCTTACACCAAAGAGTGCTCGGTGGTGTAAAACAAAATGTACCACCTTTCTTTAAGAAGTGGTCAATCCTAACGCTGCCCAAACCATTCCACATATAAAGCAGAGGACAGGTTCATAAAAAGTGCTAGGGTTAGAGTGCACAAACAGCAAGCATTCTAATGTATCCTTTGACCAGAAAGCATAGATAAATAAACAAAATAAATTAAATTGTAAAATAAAAATGACTAGTACGGCAGAATTATGCAAACATGAGGTTGCAGCAATACAAAGCAAACATATGCACCGTCAAATTAAAAATATCCACTTCACCATCCCTTAGGCTATAACTGTCCTTGTGCGAGGAAGCATACCACAACTAGCAGCTTTGTAAATTAAAAATGACTAGATAAAGAAAATGAAAGCCGTTTACAACTCCCTGTAACGCTAAATTAGAGTGCAGCTCTAGAGGAGGAGGGAAGGGTCCCGAGGAAAGGGTATACCCCTCCTCCCTGCCACACCTCCCTCTGAGCGGCGTCGCCGTAACCGTGAGGTCACGTGACCCTCCTGACGGGGGTCACGTGACCCCGCGAGGACAATTTGGCATGGTGCTGAAACGTCACCTTGCCGAAACGTCGCCGCGGTTACGGCGACGGCGACACCACTCAAGCCGGAAACGGGCGCCTAAGAGCTGCGCTCTAAAAGAAACACCAAAACAGCAGGTGCTCAATAAACAATATGGATACCATTCATTATCACAATTGCAGCTAACCAAACTGAGGCTAATCACATAAAATAAAAAATCTAAATGCTGGAAAGCGTTAAGAAATTGCAGCAACAAAAAGCCAACATACACGTGTGCGTTTTTGCTTGGGCTCTGGTGCACGTTCTGGAAGTTGAGGGGCTGGCTGAGTGTTACGTCGTTCCTGCAGAAGAGGCAAGCTTGATGAAAAAGGAGGGCAAATGAATCCCGAATACAAAGGTGTTGCAGAAATTTAGGTGCATACATCTTGGTCATAGAAGTCCTCATCCTCAAATGAAGAAAGAGTATGCTCCAGTCTCTTCCTTTTTCTCTTCTCCCGCTCTTCATTATTCAATGTTAGGTCGGACGTCGCTTCCGAATTTTTTTTCTTTGTACTTTGCATCTTCATATGTCACTGAAACAAGAAAGCCAAGCACACCAGTCAAATGTTTAACCACCACAAGCTTGTTTGCACCCTAAACTTTTGTTCATTAAATAAAATATGCTCGCTTTATGGTTAGACAGCTTTTAGGTTAAAGCCTGCCAACTTTTTCGGGCTCATGTATATAATCTGTGAGGATTGGGCCAGCTCAGGTTTATATTAAAGAAAACAAAAATTTTGTCGGGCTCGTGCTGGGCTGAAGCTTCTGTCTAAAATTCTGTCGGGTCCGGGCCGGGCCCGAGCCGTGTCTCTTCAAGGCCAAGTCTGGCCGGGCCCGGAAATTAAATATTCTATTAGGCTCGGGCCAAACCCGGGCCGTGCCTCTACCGGGCCGGGTCTAGAAATTCTGGCTCGTGCAGTGCTCTAGCACACTCTACATTGGGTGAGCAGAGTCCGCGCTCCGCTCTAAGCAGAATTTATTGCCTATTTCTCTGCCCCAAGGTTTTCAACTCTTTGCTCAGGGCACTCAATGGCACTTCCGGCTCATTTTCCATGACTGGGCTTGATTTTTTACAATATCCCTGATTTTTCCCGGTAATTAAAATTTCCCTGACAATTCCCGGTTTTCCCGGTTGCTAGACACCCTGCTATACTTACAACATGATGCCATCACCTGACAGGAGAATGTGGCCCAGTCAGTCGAGGGCTCTTCACGCTCTCTAATTGCCATCATCAACCGATTTGATTTGTAGGGTGGCCATGCCGTGCAGCCATTGCACACCCAACAGGTAGGGAAAACTGCGACATCATTTTCCGCCAACAAATGGACAAGAGAGTACATTTCCTGAAATCAACAAATAAAGCCGTTATTACCTTAAAGACCAGTCATAAGTCACTAAAAATACAGTTTTTGAATTAAGCACAACCAATGTACAATAGTTGCAAACATAGATCACACTTGCAAGTGAAGTAGATAAAAAAACAGCATAGCCCTGGTTATCGAAAAAATAGTCAGAGTGCAGGTGAGCTGGTGTAAGTTGAACATGATTGTAAACCTGAGACTGGGGCAGAAAAGAGAACACAGCAGAAGGTAGAAAAAGGGGAGGCAACGTCTCAAACTCAGCTGCAAAGTTTATTTCGTACACGCCTTATATACCACAACTCCAACGCCGAATGGCGGTGGTTATGCTAGAATGTGACCCTTTGTGTGAGTGTTTCGCAGGAGAGGTCAAGGGAGATAAGAGAAGGCATACCCAAATTTCATTGTCCTCTTGTCATATATATATATATTTTTTTTTTTTAGAGACAGCGTTGGAGTTGTGGTATATAAGGCGTGTACGAAATAAACTTTGAAGCTGAGTTTGAGACATTGCCTCCTCTTTTTCTACCTTCTGCTGTGTTCTCCTTTCTTTCCAGTCTCAGGTTTACAATCATGTCCCTGGTTATATTGCAAGCAGACACACTTCCACCTGATGTCCTGCACACTCCCCACTGAATACTGCATGGAGAGCCCTGTAGCTCTAAAAATTCCTAGCACTGATGATGGCAGCTTTGAAGTATAAAGGTTGCCGAGATTTCGGAAAAACTGTCCGCAGATGCTACGGTTCCCATCTGACTCAATGAAGTTCCTAACAACAGCAATGTTGCCATACTTCAGTTGAACACAGTTGTCGGACGCCTTCAGAGAGAAATGAGCTCCGTCTAAAACAAGCTCACTGCACTGGGTTTTCTTGAAGATTGGCGGCTCAGGTTGTTGCTCGAGCAGAGCACACTTCTGTTGCACAGAACTTGACACGGTGGTGGGATTCACTTCTGAGTGCCTCTTGATAACCTGCTGCAGAGCCAAGGAAGGACCCCTCACCAACCTCTTGAGCTTCCCAAGGAAGTTCTCAAAGGGAAAGGCCGAGAAGGTGTTGACAGGGCCGAACCGTCGAACGTCTTGTCAGGTGGATCAGGGAGTGAATGTTGTAGACATAAACCCCCTCATACAAGGTACCAGCTCCAGAAACAAACTCTCTCAAGAGAGATTCTGCAAGATCACAGTGTGTCAAAGAAAATTTGGGGCTGGCTAGGATGGTCATAACACAGCTCAGCTTTATGAAGTGTCCATAAAAGCGCTTTTCCAAATGGTTTCTAAGGACCACTGGCCCGGGGGAACTGATAAGGGGATAAAGGAAAGGGGGTTTTGAAGGCCGGGGATTTTGAAGAGGGGGAGGTAACGCGGGGAATTCACAGCGGGGATTTTGACACAGGTGTTCTGAGATTAGGTTATTTCGTGCACCACTCGTATCACTCGACTCAGATTCACACTCGGAAGCTCGTTGGTATTCAAACTCTCCGGAAAAACTTGCATGTGCTGCCACGGCCTGTTGTCCAGGTGAAAGAGGGTATGCTTCCTCAGTGTCCACCGACTCCTCACTGCTCGTACCGCAACTTTCAAGTTCCTTGCGAACACTTTCGGCTACTCTACGTCTTTTTTGGCGATCGGATAGCTCTGATAGCGAACGCTTCGCCCGCTCCATTGTTCAGCACAAGTAGTAACAACAACGAAAATGAAACATACCTTTGTTTACGTTTCCTCCACGCCGAGAGATCGGCAGAGCGGTCCGATGAAACAGGCCTTGACGGTCCGTTGACATACGGTCACGTGGTCAAGCTGGCTTCGACCTTGCTTGGCTTGAACTACTTGCACTCTTGGCTTCTTGGCTTGTCAACAGTGTGCGTAAACGAGTAAACGACTAAAAATGAAGTTTCAAGTAGGAATAAACTGTGGAAATTTATCTGACAATACTAAAATAAGTTTTTTTTAAGAGTTATAAAACATTACATCGATTGGGGAAATTGGTATAAGCCGTACAGCCATAACCGTAATGCCGTACTAGTGTGCAATCATGGCGGACGATGGCGATCTTGCAACGTCTTGCAGTGATCAGTTGATGACCTCTACCGTAATATCGGTAACGATAGTGAACTGTTAACATCGAAACGGTAGTACCGTAGCCACCGTAGCTGTGCGACTGTGCTGTGCCATTGTGACCCATTGTGATGTGTCCAGATAACAAATGTAGGCAAAGAGTGATCCACGCAGAGCGAGCTTCGAAGCCTCAAGCTCAAATATGTTCTCGTGTCGACGGCTCTTTGGCGAGAAGTGAACGGGGGCTAACAATGTGTGTGCGATTATACTCGTTTCATTATAATTAGGGTCCATATTAGATGAGCGAATGACGTTTTAGCAAACAGCGGCATTTGAGCGAATCGACGTTTTAGCGAATAACGGGGGCGCGCGTTAACCCATCCGCCGCGCGGCGAGTCTGCGGCGGCTCATTACAAAAATGTGAACCCACTTGGCCCACCCGAAAACTCCGCTTCGCAGCGTCCGAATTTTCGCTAAAGTGTCATTCGGTGAAACGTGGACATTCGCTAAAACGTCACTCGATAAAGTGAGTGCCTCCCCCCTTGGGGCCCTTCATTTTGAGTGGTCGGCGGAGTGCGCCCTTGTATCCGTGGCCCTTGATGCTAGATCTCCTTCCTACCTGCCCCTCCCCCCCCCCCCCCCTCTCACTCACTTTTCTTTAATCTCACCCCATTCCCGTCCCATCTCTCCTATGTTGCCTTTTCTAACCTTTCACTCCTCATTTCCTCGCATGATTTAATGTTTGTGGCCCCCCCTTCCCCCCCTTCATAGGATTATATGTTCGTTGCCTTTGACCTTTGATCTCGACTTCGGACCCTTGACTGCTCCTCCTCGCCATCTCCCCTTCTATCTCCTCGGTCTCCTTATTCCTCCCTCCCCTCTTCCTCTACTCTCTTGTCCACCTTCCTCTTCCCGCTACCCATCCTACTCATCTTTCCTCCCCTCTTCCCCCTTCTCTCTCGTTTGAGTGATTCTATGTTCATGGCCTTTGACCTTTTCTTTTTGGTGGCAGTTGCATATGGCTCTTCATTTTGAGTGGTCGGGGAGGTGTGATCTTGTGTCCATGCAACCGAGGCCTATGACCTGCAATGTTTTACGTCTTACCTGGCCCCACCCCGTCCCATCTCCTCATTCCCCTCCACTCCTTCTCCCCCATTGGTCTCATATTCCCTCTGTGTGCTCTTCCTCCCCTCTTTCCTCTCTCCTCCGTCTGATCTTGCTCCTCCCTGCCCCACTTCTCTTCATCTTTCTCTTCATGCTCCCTCAGCCTCTCATCCTCATTCCCCTTTTTCTTTTGTCTCCTCTCTTCCTTGTGTGAGCGTGTGTTTTTGGCCTTCGACCTTCATACTTGACCTCTTTCTTCCTGCCTCTATTCTCCTTCCCATCTCATCGCTCACCTTCCCCCTCAACCGTCTCCCTTTTCCCCTCCTCTGTCTATGAGACAATGGCTACCGCCAGTCGTCTCACTTGCAGTGTGCTGCAATGCGCCGCCACTTTTTGAGTTTTCCGAATAGAGTGCTGAGCTGTAAATTGGACTGAAATATGAGCTTCTGCATGTAACTATTTCAAATTTTCAGCCAGGGTGTATCTTATACTGCACGCTCCAAGGTTTCTCTAAATCTTTATGGCAAGCACTGGCGCAGACAACCGAGACAGGGCGAGAGTAAGAACCACCCAGTCGCTCGATTTGACCTGAGTCCGTCGTGAAATTAGTCCTTGCTTCTATTTTAAATAGTAGAAATCATTTTGCAGCAAGCTCGGGTCGGATAGAGCAGTCGGTCGACCCCAAGAGCTCTCTGCGACCTGGCCGTAGGGTAATCATGTTCATATTTTTCACAGAAACAGAGCTACGCTTCGAAAATAACGCAATAGAGCACACAACTAAATATACTTTTGGTGATAATTTTAGCTAGCTACGTGTTCCAAATTAATTTACAGGCTACGACTCTCATGCCATCCTATACATGTTCGGGAGGTCTTTGGGTCGTCGCGTCACCAGCGTGAGTTTTCCACCTT